ACACGTCTTAGAAACCATGATAAAAACATAACAAGGTAAAATCATTCTCTCAATTCGTCGGCCATGATTTTTTTTTCTGACTTTTGCAAGTATTTTAAAATCATATAAACTTGAAAATAAAAAAGTTAAGTTGTTCACATTTGTTGCTGTTTGATATTGAAAATGAGAATGTGTGTGGGAGTTTGAGTTTTCAGTTTTAAAATTATATTGCTGGAAAACGTCAGACTGCCTCTCAATGGTTTTATTGTAATGTTTCTATCATGTAGAAACAGTTTTTTTTGTTAAGATGAGAGAGAAGCTATCCGTATGAAGAGAAAAAACAGATTGAACTCATACCTGAGCAGATTAAACAAAGATGATCTCAACGAATGCCCGCCATGCGGCAGTCGCCCCATGACTCACAGCATCTCTTCGTATGCCCTCTAAATCCCACCACACTAACGCCTTTGTCCCTATCGACGGACCCCATCTAGGCTGCACGCTTCCTGGGTCTATCGCTACTAGAGCTTGACAACAACGATTGGGGGATTAACCGATCTGGGCGGTGTTGTTGTAGCCGCTACCGGGGAAGAGCTATCGATGGATAGGACTCTCCTTTGTTGGACGGTTTCCCCGGTTTAAGCAGTGAGACCACTCTCCCCATTTTCCAGATGTCTGGAATGATGAGAGTGGCCATTGAGACGTTGAGGACCTTGGTTAGATAGTCTACTCATTCATCAACATGCAAATTCCGTCGGGTCCAATGGCTTTGGAGGCTTTCCCATTCCCGATGGCTACCCTTACCTCACCGCTGGTGGAAACAAGAGGCGCACTGGGTGTTGGCAGTTTGTGCCGCCATCTGGTCACTCGACGTTTGTCTTTGTCCACCGGAAGATGCAGTATGAACTGTCGGCTAAAATAGATCGCGCATCGCTTCGGGTCCGACGAAGCGTGGTTGCCAACATTTATTTTAACTATCGTCAAGCTTCGTCGGGTTGGATAATGGCCTCACGGTTGACCAGAGCTTGCTCACACCAGAGAAAAAGTGACAGGTCTTCAGATGCTCTTCCTACTTCTTCCCTTTATATATGTTCACCAGTTGCCGAATCTCCGAGTTGAGATCCCTGATACAGGGATTTTCGGGATCGGCCTGACGAAGGTTGTCACGCTCATTAGCTAGGATATCCGCTGCGGACGGAGGTCCGAAACGCATCCCGCTGGAATAAAGCGGGCTGCAGCAGCAGTGACAACCCTGCGGAATTTACGCTTAACTACGTGAACGTCGGTTGGTGTGGGTAGGGCAGTAAAGGTGCTTTTAGTAACATCCGCGAAGCCTTTCTAGTCTGCTTTGGAGAAGTTGACATATGTAGGTGCGGTGATCCGCGGATGCAAAGTCGGCTGCTTTATCAATCGAGATGACTATGGGCAGATGGTCCGATTCTAAGGTCAGCATAGGGCGCCATGATATGCTGTTTATCAGACCAGCTGCAGCAGCTGCCCATAATCCTGGTGGGTTCGTCGTCCTTCATTGTGCAGAATGTCAAATCATATATCTGCTCAGCCAATTGTATTCCCCTACGATCGTTTGACATGCTAGAATGTCAAAGATCGCGGTGCGTATTGAAGTCACTAACTACCATACGGTTTTCACCTCTGAGAAGCGCAGCTATTTTAGGGTGATATCCTGCCGGGCAGCTGGCGACAGGGGGTATATATACGTACATATTTCGAGCTCGACATCGCCTGACCAGATAGCAATACCCTGACTTTCTAGGATGGTATCCCTGCGGTCGATGTCTGCTTCAATAAGACAATACTGCACGGTGCGGTGCGTGATGAACGCTAGGCCACCAGCATAATCTCGCTCGCGATCTCGACTGTGCACGTTGCATCCGGCGCAATTCAACAATGTTGAATTACCATGCAACTTCGTCTCTTAGACCTCAGCTATTAACATACCGTGCCGACCCATGAAAACTTATCTTCTCGATCTTACTCTGAAGTCCGGTACAGTTGAATTGGAGAATCTTCGTGCGCCTAGGGAGACTTATTGGAATGTGAGGTGTGTTGCCGGCCCGCCACTAGCTGTGCGTGGTGCTGTAAAGGCTGTTGACCTGTGGTGGTAGTGGGCGGCGTCGCAGTTGGTACTTGCGACCGAGCAGCACAGCAAGGGCCCTCGTAGTCCCTCGTCCAATCTCGTGGTGCGCAGTCCTGAACATGCCCTAAAGTGACACCAAGGCAAGTGTTGCATTTGACTGATGTCACGTTACGAAATATCCTGAACTGACAAGATGCAGATTGTCGGAGGAACTAGGAGTTGTTGACGGCGGTGTGAGGAGTGTGGTGTGGTTGTGTCGGTGGTGTGGTCTGTTGTGTCTGTGGTATTGTCTATTGTATTGTGTTGTGATGCGGCTGTGTTTGTGTTGAGTTGCTCAGGCGGACTCTGGTGTGCCGTGTAGGCAGCTCGGTTTGAGCATGGCTGCGTCTGCTTAAAACATAAAATTATATTTAATTAATTAATTGACAAAAGTTTGAAATATTTAGCAAGAAATAAATAAAGGATATGAAAAATAAACTCTAAACTAATTGACAATAAAAAAAAAAAATAGAATAAAGTTAAGAGTTTTGTGAACTAGTAACATTCTCCGAGACTTCGGAGAAAATCTATCTTCGCGTTTTTGAGAAATTGCATTCCAAACTTCAATCGCGATTTCTCAAAACCTGATGAAAGTAACATATGACAATCTTTTATCCAGGCGACGATACGTAGTGTAATAAAATAACGCTTTCGTTTGACACAAATATTTTAATATTTCATATACATAAATTGTGTTCAATTTGAATTAAATTTTTTACCAGATGCCAACTGTTCTAAAACAATATATCTAATTTTTTTCCAAATCTACAGGCCAAGCATTTTAATTAGACACCTCATTTTTGAAAAATGAACGAATAGTTCAGATCTGATGGCAACAACAAAATAAAATATGATTTATGCATTGAAAACAAACCTATTATTTCGGATAGTGCAATACAAGAGTAGTAAAAAACCATGCTTTTAAAAAAGTATAAGTTCGGGCGAAACCGAACTTTATATACCCGGCGCAGGTATCAAATATCGTCATTTAAATTTTTTCTAAGTAGGGGTGTTTTTTTACCGTTTTCGATAAAGGGGTTACCGAGATACAGCTTTTAGTCGTAAAGTGGGCTGTGCGACGCCCAATCCCTAAAAGTCTATAGCAGTTGTAACTATTCACTTGGAGTAAATTAGCGGTCTCAGTTACTGAAATATCGGAGTTTTCGTATTGGAGTAAATTAGTGGTATGAATTATTGAAATATCTGAGTTTTCGTATTTCTGAAATTTAACGTTATATGGGAAGCGGTCTAAATACGATTTGCAAAATTTTCAGCGGATAGCTTTTCCGTACCAAGTATTTAAGATGCACCGAGTTTGGTAGAAACTGATAAATCGGTTACCGAGATACACATTTGTGGTATAAGGGGGCGGTGTCACGCCCATTATCAACAAATTTATAATAATCTAATTTTCTGCTAAGTGGTTATTCGTGTTTGTGTAAATTACCGTTATATGGTAGCTGAGCGTGGTTATTACCCGTTTTCAACAGATTTCTTAGCTAGACCCTAGGCAAGGCTCGCACCGAGTTTGGTAAGGATTGGTTACCGAGATACACATTCGTGGTATAAGGGGCGGTGTCACGCCCATTATCAACAAATTTATAATAATCTAATTTTCTGCTAAGTGGTTATTCGTGTTTGTGTAAATTACCGTTATATGGTAGCTGAGCGTGGTTATTACCCGTTTTCAACAGATTTCTTAGCTAGACCCTAGGCAAGGCTCGCACCGAGTTTGGTAAGGATTGGTGAAGCGCCTACTGAGATACAGCATTTCATCATAAGTGGACGGGGTCACGCCCATTACCAAAATTCTACTTCACGTACTAATTTTCAACAATTTAGATCCAATATTTACTGAAACGTCGTGGGAAGTGGGCGTGGTTAGAGTCCGAGTTCCCCCATTTTCAATACCAACCTACCTTGGATACAGGGCAACCCACACCAAATTTCGGTGAGATATCTCAATGTTTGCTCCAGTTATCGTATACACGGACGGACGGGCGGACGGACGGACAGACAGACAGACATGGCTTAATCGACTTCCAAGGGCGTACCCTGAATCAAATATAGAGGGGCAAAGCAAATACATTTGTTTCTTAAAAAATTCTATTTTATATTACTGGTGTTTTTAACATGGGTATGTCCTACGAGATGGCGATTGTCAGAATTCGGTCAGAAATATACCAGTCCAATATGGACCAAAACCACTACTTTGGTAGTGAAAAAATGAAATGAATTCATGAATATACAATAAAAAACTTTTGATTAAGTGCACTTTAATATATTACACATTTTTATTTAGCAGCATTAGATTTTCCAATAATTAGTGTTAAATTTTTTGTACAATACATACTATACTTTTACACCCAGAGAAAGAATTCTGTAAAATCAATCGAATTACAGGTTGTAACAACAGATTTCACATATAAATCACATCCAAAGGATAAATCTGTAAAATTAACAAATACTTCTCCGTTGACAAGAAGTTTTAACAGTTTTACTGTTGAATTTACAAATCGTCTGTCGAATTAACATTTCACTAGGCTATATATAAAATATTTCTGTTAATTTTTAGCAAACGCGACTGTTGTTTTACCACATATTTACGTTAAAATAATCGTTCAATCTGTTTATAAAACTGCAAAATTGCTGTTAATTTAACTGTAAATACAGTTTTATTGACAGTCAAAATAGTAATTTTTTATAAAAATAAATAAAAATCGTGTTTAAGTATGTTTTCCTAGATCATTTATTTCATATAATTTGATGAAGTATATAAAATATTTCCTTATAGCTAACAACATACACTTGTGGTCAGCTGATTAAGTTAAGTGACATTTTGACCATTTCACATTTCACATTTTACATTTTCATTTTACTTTTGTTTAACAATAAATTAAATAAATATTATTTAAGTAGTCACAACATTTTATTTCGTAGATATACTGAACCATCTGCCAGGACTAGTAAAAAATTCAATTTAATTAAAACACATTTCATTGGTATTTATTCCAACAACATAAGATTGGTAATGTTCATAAAATTTTTTCAACTGAATTTTGGTAGAAACAATAAACAGTTGATTTTGTTTGTCAATTAGAAGTCCTTCGATTTTATATAACTGTAAAATTTCTGATAATCTGGAGAGATAAAAGTGTTTTTTATAAACACTTCCTTTGAAGGTCACTGAGTCAGCTAAAGTAAAATGTTCTATTGTTAAGTTACATGACTGCAAAAAAATCAATTGTACGTGTATTGTCTTCGTTCACTTGTTTTTTATCTGTGTTATGAGTAACACATGGTGTGGCCACAACCATCGATAGCTTTCCGGCTCTATGACAGACGTATATTTTTTTAAGTCTGTATGTTTCGCATCAAATCTTAAACATCATATATATTTCAAAGGCCCACTAGCCTTTATTGCCGACCCATAATGGACCAAGAAATGGTGCTTTGGCTTAAGTAATCCAAATACTTTCAAATACAATTCGCGATGACGAGATATCGTATCTATAAGGAGTTCAATGTCATTTTCAGTGAAAGATGAATATAGGCAAATATCAATGATTTTGATTAATAATGTGATAAGCTTCCACACTTTATCATATCGTGGCACTTTGTCCCCTATAATTAGTGGCAGAAAATGTGTGAAAGTTCAAGTTTCACTTGCAGACATTTTTAAATTTGACTTAAGACGACAGTGTAATTTTAATGGGCCTGAAAAATTTCCTATTTCGGTTTCCCCGTACATACAATTTTGTTTGCGTGTGTTTAAAAAGTCTAAGGAAAAGTTTTTTTTTTTTTTTTAAGTACAATAGGGATGGGGTTATTTCATAGCGACAAATACCTTCAAAAATGCCATGCATTATATCAACGCTAAAATTATGAGTAACATGAAAAGTGCTAATATCATTAAATATACGTTTTTCTACTATACCTGCTACACTGTAATTGTTTAACTTAAGATCTTCAGAATAATTTTGTATATTTCTTATACAATCATTTGCTTCGATTACATCTTTCTGTAACTATATATTTTGCCTCTTCTGCAAAGACGACAAAATTTGTACGATCGAAATGATTTACAAAAACCAAATATTGTTTTCATACCTAAGTTATCTCCTAGAACAAGTCCTAATGTAAAAAAAAACATGATAGCTATTTCCATCAGCACTCATTTCTCAACCCGTTTCTTCCAAAAATCGAATTTCTTGAATGAGACCATATAAGGCTGAATTACTTCCCAAATCTTTCAAATAACAAGATTTGACAATAAAATAAATTCCAAACTAGACAGTAAATATTGCGGTATTGTCGGAAAAGAATAATAACATCCGCGTATAGAATCTTTTGTTGTATGACTTCCTAAAGGGTTGTTTGTTTCGAAATCATCAGAGTAAAGAAAATATGGTATAATCAACTTTCCTTTAACAATTTTTTGCTCCTTCGACTTGAAAATAGATCCATTTACAAAATTTGAATATTGCGTTTGGTTTTGTAAGAATTGTGTGTTGTTCAATGTTTCTCGAAACAGAGATTTTAATTCGAAAATTTTTTTAAATTGAAAGCGTAATGGCGTAATATAAGCTTTTGAATTAGTTTCAGCCAAAGTGGGATTTCCAAGTCGGATACGTGGTACAATTTCATTGTTTATAGTATGCTCAGAAAAACTGTGAAACAAATTTTTGCTCTGGATGTACTTAAAAAATGTATATTAAGTGTTTACGTATTGCAGTGGATCAGAGCATAATTTAAAAACTTCGCGTAGTTTGTTAGTTAATGGAATATCAATCTCATTCTTAAGTGTATCTTTAATATTAGCAACCAATATTTTACATATATTCGAAACATTTTTTTGGATACTACTACTTAAATAGTTTTTTGAATATAGTTCACATGAAAATATTACAGCTGATTCTATAATTTTATCATTTGGATTGTTATCCGTTTTACAAATATGAGTTTCTGGCTTAGTACAGTTATATGATGATCGGTCAGTGTTGTTGAAACTTTCAGAATTCGACTTTACATTATTTAAACTCAAGTTATCATCATTAGCATATTTTTCATGCCTATTAAGGTGTTTTGCAAATGACCATTTACTTGAAAAATGCTGCAAACAGTTTTTCTGTGCACATTTATATACAGCAAAATTTTTCAATTTATGTTCACTATTGAAATGAGATATTAACTTTTTAACCGTTTCAGTTCTGTATTCACAAACAAAGCAAAAATACATTATATATTTTATTTAATAACGAATTCAAATGAGATTTCAATCCACCAACTTTAGGCTGATGTTCGTCGTATTTTGTGTCAATTTAAAAAAAAAAAAAAACTTTTGGATAAAAAGCCAAACACCTTCACAGTATAAAGGATATTGTACATCAAAAACTTTAAAACATTAATCCAGAGCTGCCAAAAATGATGAGAACTTGAGCTTGGTTCCGTCTAGATATATGTACAAAAAAAAATATCTAAAGAGTTAATACTAGAACCAGTAGCTATTATAATGGGTTGCAAAGTATTATTTTTGTCGAAAAACGTTCCCTTATTTCGGCCAATGTTTCCTCCAAAGTTGATGCAGAGTTTACATGGACTAAAAAACTGTCCACTCCTTCCTGAATAGTTACCCTTTTAAACGACGAGTTGTTCTTGTACCTGTCAACGGGTGTTATAACAGCATTCAGCAGTAAAGATATAATTGAGGGATTCACAAAGGTGTCGTAAGTGTCGTATTGTTGTATGTCGTAAACTTTAAAAGCTTAAATAAATGCTTAGAGAACTTGAAACGACAACCAACTATTATTTAACACCGCAAAAATTCATAATATTACTTTGATGGTGCTTTACGAACCTCTTTAATATATTTTTTAGGCGTTTAAAGTTTGCGACATACAACAATACGACACTTACGACACCGTTGTGAATACGCCAAATACAATTTCTAGTACCTGAAAATATAAACGTATGTACCATATAAAAATAGCTTGAAACTCGTATCAGTTATTTATTTACCTGCAGCGAGGTTTTGATTTTCCAATTGAATTAAAATTTCTCGGGAAACTTTGTCCTTTTATTTTTCTTATAATAGCTGTATATTAATGGCACGAAATCTTCCCACTTTGTATGCAAATTTGTTCCTTTGTTCGGAAAGAGTATATCAAAATCACAATTGATCTGAAATATTGTGAAAGTTTGAAGAAAATATTTATTTATATATTTATTAACACGGAATATAAGATTAAATATAAATGTTTTTACAAAAGCAAAAAAATTTTACCAGCTGTGGTCCAAGAACACAATGTTTGTACAAAGGCCATTCGATTATAAATGCGGATATCGTTTCCCCTCTTTCCAATGAATTCATGAGATAAATATTTCTATATAGATGTGTCGTTTTCCACTTATCCACAATTTCCTCTAGTGGGCTATCATTATATTTCCGCCAAACTTGAATTTTTTTTGGATAAAATTTCGTCCAGTTCAGGAAAGGTCTGTTTTTGTACTCGTGTCGTTGCCTCTTGGTGTGTTTGAACACGTAGGTAAATTTTTTTCCTTTTCGATTATTAAAATAGCGATCATATAATTTACCACACGGTCGTTTAGAATTTCCACGACGACCAAAATAAGTTGACTAGGTGGTAGAGAATCGAATAATTTAGAAAATAGTGTGTACCCTAGTAATAGCATAACAGCTATATAATGGATGAAACGTATTTTTAAACATACGGTGGCGGACCAAAATCTACATACAATGAATTTTTCACAATAAGTACAAAGTTTTGTATTCTATTCTTTTTTGGAATTTTTTATAAAAGTATAAGTCTACATAAGACGAATTTTTCACAATAAATAAAAAAATTTCTATTCTACCCTTTTTACAAATTTTTTATAAAAATATAGATCATACTTAAGCAAAACCGAATAAAATTAAACTTATAAACTTTGCGCAAAACTCATACAAATTTCAAAAAAAATTTAAACTTAAATAAATAAATTTCATAAAAAACTTTAAACTTTTTAATTATTATTATAATAAAATTTAGTGAGCTACAAAGCTGCGTAAGCAAAATTTTTCTGGAAAATTGAATTAAATATGTAGTTGAAAAATTTTATGAAATTTGTTTGAATTTTAATGACTTTTGCACAAAGTTTAGAAGTTTAATTTTACTGTCTTTTTTTAAGTATGAACTGTATTAAAAAAAAATTTGCAAAAAAGAATAGAATATAAAATTTGTATTTTTTGTGAAAAGATCTCTGTATGTAGACTTTGGTCCGCCACTGTATATAACAGATACCCGATTACTTACTGGATGTTCTCCAGGGAAATATTTGCATATCCTTTTTTTAATCTTCATAATACTCAAGGAAATCTTTTCCCCGAGGATAATGTTGCAATATATTTTGAATATGAAACTACATAATTAAGTTATATATAAAAAAGTCTAAAATTCATGCTGACACATTTGCTCACCTCAAATGAATCGTGTGAAGTTGGTGTTGCACTTGACGAAAAAAATACGAATTTTTCACAATAAATAAAAAAATTTCTATTCTACCCTTTTTACAAATTTGTTATAAAAATATAGATCATACTTAAGCAAAACCGAATAAAATTAAACTTGTAAACTTTGTGCAAAACTCATAAAAATTCCAAAAAAAATTTAAACTTAAATAAATAAATTTCATAAAAAACTTTAAAATTTTTAATTATTATTATAATAAAATTTAGTGGGCTACAAAACTGCGTAAGCAAAATTTTTCTGGAAAATTGAATTAAATATGTAGTTGAAAAATTTTATGAAATTTGTTTGAATTTTAATGACTTTTGCACAAAGTTTAGAAGTTTAATTTTACTGTCTTTTTTTAAGTATGAACTGTATTAAAAAAAAATTTGCAAAAAAGAATAGAATATAAAATTTGTATTTTTTGTGAAAAGATCTCTGTATGTAGACTTTGGTCCGCCACTGTATATAACAGATACCCGATTACTTACTGGATGTTCTCCAGGGAAATATTTGCATATCCTTTTTTTAATCTTCATAATACTCAAGGAAATCTTTTCCCCGAGGATAATGTTGCAATATATTTTGAATATCAAACTACATAATTAAGTTATATATAAAAAAGTCTAAAATGCATGCTGACACATTTGCTCACCTCAAATGAATCGTGTGAAGTTGGTGTTGCACTTGAGGGCGAAGAACAGGATGCGAGACTTTCGTTTTGCTTAATCCACTCACTGACTTTTTGGATCGCTGTCGCTACATCGTCACCTTCACCAAACTACAGTTTCAAAATTGAGGGAAAAAATTATACAATTAGATTTGGGAGTATTTAAAAATCGTATAACTCTTCTACCTCCTGTTTTTTCCACAATTGATTTTTTTCACGCAATTTCGCTTTAGTGCCCACTACTTCCACTGAGGGGAAAATTTTGTTCAAGTCGCTTTCAGTGAGATATCGCAATTCTTCTATTCCCACGCTGGCATCTGTATATTTAAAAATGTATACATATATATGTATATGAGTTATTTAACAGGTGTACACTATTTGTCTGTCTAAACTTAAAATTATAACTTTTTGCCCGTATTATTCGTTACAAAACTTGCGAAGCATTTTTTCAATGAATGCAAAGGCAAGCATGAACAAAAAGATGAACGAAACTTCACGAAGCTTGCCCTGTCGGAAATAACTACGTTGTCTCAGAAATTAATGGCCTTATTATGAGCTGCATTCGATTTTCGATATTCGCTGGCTATCGAAGATCGAAGATCGAAACTGAAATTCGTATTATGAGCTATACAAGCGTGTCGAAATTTTCGTTGAGTATCGAATTTTCTGTCGAACAGAATTTTGCTTTCGATGGTGTTGCGAAGTGTTAGAAAATTGTGAAAAATGTACGATTTTGTATATGTTTTCTTACATTTTGGCGGCTAGACACTAATTTTAAATAATTTTTATTAATTTCATGCAGTTCTAACATCGTGAACACTAAACACAAACTCGAAAGGCTGGTTTTACTTGTGAAAGAAAATGCCAATATTCTGTTGGCACGATCTCTGAGAACAAAATCGTAGCGCTGTTGATAGTTTTAAAATATTTTAAATAGATTTGGCTCACAAACGCCTCTTTAGATGGTCGGAACTTTTTAATGAATCTGTAGACAAATTTCTTAAATATATTTTATATCAAAATATATTCGAAAGACTAATAAACTTAAACTCTCTTAAACATTTGCTACTCCTGGCCAGTTTACTAAGCTCTCATCCTCTGACGAATCGTTGAACCAGAACTCGTTGTACTCATTTTACCACGTTTTTATAAACTTGCTTTCTTTTTTACTTCATTTTAATTAGAACAAATTTGCATAAATATGTATAAGCACACTATTTAGTTTGCTCGATTTGTAAACAAAGCTTCTCAGCGGTGAAAATTATACTATTGTGAACAACCTAAACGAGCGAAATTCACAATAGCGCTATTCTTCATCGAATGAGCGCCATAATACCAAATGAGAATTCGTTCGCTCAGCACTTTCGACCACAGTCGAAAATCGAATGCAACTCATAATAGGGGCCAATCAATTGACAAGTAGTTGGAAACAAACTACTTTTATGAAGTTAATGCATTTTAAAGTAGAAATATATGCAGTGTCGGATAATTAACTTGGTTCTAGAACATCGCCATGTTAATAAATAAAGTTAATTGCTTACAAGAAAAAATGGAAGAATTCAAACTACTTGTGAGTGATAAAGAAATACTTTATAATAGCTTTCAACGTAATTGAATTTCCGACAGGGTGCATATTGATGGTACTACATATGTATGTACATATAATACGGGCGCAAAGTTATATTCACATGTACATAACTATTCCAAATAAACCTTGCACTTCACTTCAATATTGGTATTAACCTTTAAGTATGGACACTTTTTTTTGTAGCACTAGCCTGGACATGGGGTCTCACAGACTCCTATATCTGAGGAAGCGAATTGACAGCAATTCAATTAAAATTGATAAACAAAGAATATAAGGGTAATAAATGGGTCCTAAATAAAAAGATTTAGTGTTGAAGTAATTCATTTTTATTGTAAAAATCCAACAAATGTTATCAAAATTAACATACATAGCTTTTTCTCTCTTTTTCGATATGAGATACTTCGCAAAGTAAAATTAACAAAAATCCACTTTTTAAAGTCTTATAATAATGAAATAAAAAAATAATAAAAAGCATTTTATAAACCAAAAGAAAAAAAATTGACAACTGGTCAATATGTCCAAAATTATTGGCATTCCGTACAGAGCGGCTTCGAACATTGCAGACATATTGGCTTATTGCATGCTACAATTGTAAAAATCCTCGCTGGCCTTGTTGCGTGTGGCATTGATTACACAATATATCGATTGCTGAGTGGAAGATCGACCTATCTCGACAGCCAGTTCGAAAACGCCCTACCTCAAAAAACTTTTCAAGAACGTCCTATTTCAGAATTCGTTTCAAAAACGCCCTATCTCAGCTGCCGATTCAAAAATGCCCTATATCGGCACATTTTCAATACATTTTGAAGTGAGATAGGGCGTTTTTGAACCGCATTCTGAGATAGGTTGTTTTTTAATAAAATTCTGAAATAGGGCGTTCTTGAAAAGTTTTTTGAGGTAGGGCGTTTTCGAACTGGCTGCCGAGATAGGTCGATCTTCCACTCAGCAGTCGATATATGCGTTGATACCACTCAAATCGAGAACTCGAAAGAATATGACCATAGGCCATGTTCTAGTACGTCGGCTGCTTGAATAAATTGAACACTTCTTGTCAACTTCATCTACTCCTCCTTTGGTGGAATTATAATAATGATATAATAGATTGGCGCTTACACATATGTTAGTGTTTGGCCGAGCTTCGCCTCCGATTTGTGGTGTGCGCCTTAATGTTGTCACACAAAGGGGAGGGACCTACAGTTTTACACCGACTCCGAACGGCGATTGTATTTTTATGAGAAGCTGTTTTTCATGGCAGAAATACACTCGGAGGTTTGCCATTGCCTGCCGAGGGACGACCGCTGTTAAGAAAAAACCTTTTTCTATATTTTTTGCGATGTTGCTTTGACCAGGACTTGAACCCAGGTGCTGATGAGTGAAAGCGGTGGAATTATAATACATTATAATTTCAGGTTTTTTTTTGAATCAATATCTATGTGGTTATTGTGATGCATAGAAGATAGAAGGACCACAGCTTTATTTTGTTTTGGGACATATGAGCAAAATGTATTTCGGCCAGTAAAGCCGAACAAAGTGGATCCAACTTCTCGATGTTTGTGCGGCTGAAACTCACTAGGTATCTCTCGTTTGTTCTTTTTTACTGTTCCTACGTAAGTAAGCTTCCTCTTGGTAAGTTCATCAACCAATACTACAGAAGACAGTTATCTGCAGTGACATTGCGGTTGCTTCCCTGGATCGGCTTCGTTAAACGTAAGACACATTGAGTAGGAATCTTTTCTTCTGTTGTGAATCCAGTACCGTCAGATCCTTTCCCGGCATATATGTAGCCATTGTAGAAGTATAAGGTCTTAGCGTCACATAAGGCTTGAATGATCAATCCATATTTGCCAGTATTTTGTGGTTTGTCGCAACCCGTGTGCCATCCGTTGCAAATAGGGAAGCCGTATATTCATTATTAGACTTCAAGAAAGCCGAGTAGAATACTAGACCCAAAAAAGCGTTCAGCTCGATTGAATCTAGGTCTTTCAATTCGGGCCTGCTGCCGCGGCTACACTTATTTCTGAACTCCGATATTTTGACATTATACCACTTTAAAATTTGTTGCCGCATTTCTTCATCGAACAGCTTATTCCACACACTGTAAGGGTCATTACTATCCTCGACAATCACTCTTACAGAAGATGAACACGACACTATGTTGTGTTGGGGTGTTCGCACCCGACTGGACGGTGGCTTTTTAGCCCACTTGTATCGGTTTTTACCGTAATAATAATTTGTTGCCGTTAGCTCCGAAAGTGGCACATTATCAGAACAGCTGCTCGAGCTTTCATGCTCAATCACTTCGTCCCTCATTTCATACGCGTCGCTCTCTTCATCGCTCTCATGGCGCCCTCAGTATATCCAGTAAACAAACTTAGCTTTTTTTTTTTCGCCAAGTTTGGTCCCCATAAAGGACTAGTGTTGCAAGCAACGCTTTTTCGGCAATTAGGGTGTTGTGCAGCTATTTAATGTGGTGAAAATTATTTAAGCACTGGGGAGATTTATTCACATGGAATTGGAGATTGGGCTAATAGATTTATTTTAAATAAATTGTGAATCTGCGAAAATATCTTTTCAGCAGATGGATACACTTTTTAACCTTTTTCCCGAAAATGTACATAGAGGCTCGAAAATATGCGAGTAACATTAGGTTTGT